TGCAAAATGGCCTCAGAAAGCAGGATTCTTTGTGCTCAGAATAACACATCATTATCATAAACCTGTTACACGACAGCCTAAAACCAGCTCACGTTCCCCATTACTGACTGAACAATCCAACGCTCTGTCAATTCTGCCTCACAGTTATAGGAAGAGCATTAATCAAATAATCAAAACAATGAACTTAAAACCGAAAAAGTCAGATGGATTGATAGTATGCAGTTGCAAAACAATCACATGCCAGATTTGCAGCCCATGTGGTAATTACATTTTTCTTTGGTATTTCAAGCAAAATGACTGGATTATGAACATTCCATAATGGAAGTTGAAGGAGAAGCCAATGAGGGAAGAACAGGTTAAGAGTTCAGCTATTCAATTAGCTGTGGTTCCTCATTGTGCACAGGCCGATTGCAATCATCCGCAACATGGGTTCAAAAGGCAAGTATATTCTCCTCAGGATCAGACTGGGACATATGTGTGAGTTGTGTAAATGAGATTTTGTTTTCCACAGATTGTCTATTTCCTCGAACAACCTTAAATACACACACTAGATACTACTTATGCCAGCTACTCTCGACAAAACCTATAACTCAGGCTTTGAAAATTGGTACCAGACTGTTGAGCACACTGTGATCATCCTGTGTCCCTGATTGGGTTCCTGGGGCAGTAGAGAACACGGGGCCAAATGCAAAGGACAAACTTCCCGAGATGGGCAATGAAGTACCCATAACACGTTTTTAGTCTCTCTACCATATTGAGACTGACAGGCAAAGCTGGTTATATTTAGCCATTGAGCGTGCGTACTAGCCAGTTTTATATGACAGACAGAGGGGAGTAGAAAGCAGCCATGTGTGTGTGTGTGTGGATTGGCTTTGAGGCATCGCCAGCTGCTGTTTTGGGATTCGCTCTCTGGAGAATAAAAGGCTTGGCTCGCTAAGACCTCATCAGGCGCCATCAGCAAAGAGCACAGCACACCGAAAAGCAAATTATACTCGATCACAGACACTTGGAGAATAAATGCGGACTTGTGATCCAAGAGTGTTGTTGCGGAGATGAGTGATAGGGAGGGTTATAGCCAAGACCATAGGGACTCTGAAGCCACATTTCAGGCCAAAGAGGAAAGAAAGAAAAGCAGGCACAAAATGAGGCCAGTTGGAGGGACAGCACGTATCGGAAAAAATGGTGGAGCCAGAGGGAATTTTAGGAGACAAAGTATAACAGGATGTTTGGAAACGCTCCTGAACTTTTGATAGAGGGATACATGGATGATTTGTTCGGATGCGTTAAGTTTCAAAACAACTTTACTGGCGTTATAGCAGAGACGGATGGGAGGTTGAACGTCTCATTTCAACAAAAAAACATAAAAATGCAGGCACTGGGTAAAGGGATTGCAAGATGAAGAAGAAGTGAATGATCCTAGGAGCAATTGCTTTTGTGAATGTTGGAGAAAGAGTCAGATCACACTGAATGGGTCAGACCAACTACTTTTATACAAATGATTGTTGGGCAGTCTGAGAAAAGTAATATTTATTTGTACATCTAGCACTTTTCACAGACACATGGTGATTTACTGTATAAGAGCATTCTATTCATGGTGATGGAGAAAGTGGAGTCGCGTGTACAAAAAGAGGTGCATCGGGACACTCCAGCCAGCAGTAACAGTTAACTCACCACACTCATACAAATTGGTTTTCTTAGAAGAAGAAGAAGCAACTGGGGTACATGGAAAAAAGCCTGAAAAAGACAGAGAGAACGCTGCTCCTGAATGACAAAGAGACAGAAGAATGCTTGTAAAAAAATAAAAATTTGTACATAATATTTTTCAAACAAAATAATCTGAAGATCATTGTGAAATAGAAAAAAACAAATACATGTTTTGGGATGATCAGACAGGAGAAGATGAGTTTAGTAAACAAAAAGATGAGAACAAAAGGAATACAAAAAACATTTGAAATCAATTTTAAAATCCAAAATTGTTATGTTGACATTCATAGCAAAATAATTGTGAACAAATCTGGAAGACTGCACTGATCTGAGAATAAATTTGATAAATAAATTAAAACACCAAATAATTGATGTTCTCATTGATTCAGGATACTATTTAACAAGGACAAATAAACAGACTTTATAAAATCATAGACCCATGTTTCTACTTCCACTCTTTTCAAAACTTTACTTTTTGCATCCAGGTTCAATAATAATAGATTGTAAGTCAATATTGGTTACCATATCAAATAGCCAATAAGAATTATGTTCTGATCACACAACAGGCACAGCACTAATGGAGGAATGTTCAGAAGTCGATTTTTCTTTGGGAATAATGATTGAAGAACTGGAAACGACTTATAGATTCTGTTAATACAAATGTATGCTGTGCTCTATTAAACAGGAGTGCACTGTACCGTCTGTACGAATTATTGATTTTTCCAAGTATGGGGAAGTGCTTGCAAAACCTCTGTTAATCCATTTTTCTTCCAACAGAAAAGGGCAGTAAAAATCATCAACAAACTGGGCACAAAGACTCAACAAACCCAATATGCAGTCAATGTACTGAAATTCAATTAATTGGTGGAAATAGATATTTAAAAAAGTGTACGAAGCAAATGAAAAGTTTTTAACTAAAAATCCATGGTAATGATTTACCTTAATTTTTTCTAAAGGCGATTCATTTAAGTCCGTACTAATTTAGGTAACAAGGTAATAACATCTCTTATGATTTTACACTTGAGTTAAGTAGGAGAACCAAATAACTTTAAGTCCGTACTCTATCATAGGAATGCATATATTCTCTTTTCACTTTTGGTCATTGTTGAGGTCCATAGTATTTCTTATTTTGTCCAAACACTGTGAAGTGCAGTTTACAAGGATTTTTAACTTACAATGCAATGCCATCATTTTCAACCAACATTAATTAAGAGAAACCAAACTACAAATAGCTGTTGTTGGTGAAAAGCTCATAGCTCATAGCAAATTGTACGGCTTTGCTCATTGCAGCGATTTCAGCTCCTAAGCAGAAACGTGCTCATAAATCTGCCTCCACTGGGACGCTGTAGTTAATTGCACTTGTGTTACTTGAGTTTAGCCAGGTTTTTCATTTGCAGTCTTCATTGTGTGGAAGGTGACAATGTTTGCATATCCTACGACATGAAAGGAGGATATTACCTATTAAAATGGGAGACGATAAACAAATTGACTTCCAGTGTGCGAGGTTTGACACCCATGCAATATTTATTCCCTGAAGTGTGAAGGAGATTTACATTGACTGATTTGTGTTAGTTTAGTAATGTTAAAAAGTGATTGCTAAGAAACAAAAGCAGGGGATTGTAGTTGAATGGTTGCTGCAGGTTTCTAACTGATTGTTGGTCATTATTAGTCTACGGGGTAATCATGGACTCAGACTTAAAATTGGATAGCCACATCAATTCAGTAACATCAGCATCTTTTTACCAGAATCTAAATTACAGTGCCTAAAATAGATTTGGAGATTCTTTTGGATATAGGTCCTGACAAGAATCTCGAAGTATGATCACATTAGTCCAGTTCGCAGGTCTCTGCATCGACTGCCTGTGGCTCAGAGAATAGAATAGAGATGAACACTTTTGTTTTCTCAGTGGAGATCGAGTCCTCTGCATTTGACAGATCCAGCAATGTAGCCGTAGTACAGCGTCCAGGACAACCAGAACTGGAGGATTAATTCTATTGTGTATGTTTTTAGTGGGAGGGGAAAACGAAGCACCTAGAAGAAAAAAATACCCTTTTCCGACAGGGATTCGAACCCAAGGCGTTCTTGCTGAGAGTGCTAACTACTGTGTCATGTGCCGCCTCAGCAGCTCTCCTTGTGTACAAGTCTTTCCATGGACTCAAACCTAACTTTGAGAAGTTATATAAAGAAAAGGCATCACACTGGACACCTGTATTGCTTGGGCCCATGTCAGCTGTTCACCACAAGTACTTCACAGCACTGCACAGATAATGAGATTTTAGACTTAGATTTTTGTAATACAAACTCATATGATGTATAGACTGGTGATAAAGATTAAATCAGCTGCATTGAAGTTTCTTGCGTTCTTAATATATGGGATAAAAGTCAGCTCAGAGTCAAAAATAACACCCGGCTTTCCCATTTGTGGCGACGGATTAAAGAATGTGTTTGACGTTTGGTAAAAGTTTCTCTCTCTGGGCCTCAGGACCGATGACTAAAACCTCAGTTTTGTCCTGGTTAAGCTGAGATAAGATAAAAGGAGCATCCATTGGCCCAGTGTCCTCAGGAGAGATGAAAATGTACTATCAGCATAATAATGAAGCTACTAATGTCTACTAATGACACCGCCAAGTATGTACAGGTGGAAGAGAACAGGGCCATCATTCAGCCACACACTCAACTCAAAGAGTAGTGACAGTTTAGCTTGGGGAATTGTTGAGATCAGGCTTTTACAAACCAAGGGTCATGTATAAAGTGTGAGAGTTTGTAAGTGTGAAATTCCTGCTTCTTGCCATGTGGTGTATCATGCAAATAGCGTCATTGGAACTGCATCAGTTTTGAGCGCTTGATGTGATACAACTTCACATAGTTTTAAGTTAGTATACAAATCAACCACTTGTCAGACCACATGTCCTTCACCATTCTGAGAAAGTTGTTCTTGAAATTTGTTTTTCAAACCTTTAGACAGAGTTGCAAAATATGGGTAGCTCACAGAAGTCATTGCAAGTTGTTGATGCAAATTTGTCTCTCTTGCGGAAGGGAGAAAACAGTTTACTGCGATCACGTTTTGTTACATTAAAACAGTATTTTTGCCATAAAAACTTTATCAGATTATTCTAAAAGCCTGTGCAGCTGTATTAAGAATGTATATGTATAATGTATTATTTGATTAACATTTAAATGTGTCGATTGATTGTTATTTGTGTTTATTGAGCGGAGCTACACCATGGATCTATGTGTGACTACACTGGCGTGGCTCGGCAAGTAACAGCTAGGCTAGCTACTAATTTAAATTAAAATGGACGTGCCCGATGAAGGTGCTGTTGGAGATGGATTGGTGGTGTATCTCAGGGTAAGTTGAAAGTCGGATTCCTGTTAACCTCAGGAGCGATTCCCCCAGTGTCTCTCACAGAGACAGAAGCTCGTTGACGAAGTGTCCGGTTGGTTTGAGAGGGCCGTCATCCAAAAAATGGCCGGTAGAACATTTAGAAATTACATTCAAATCAATGAAGCGTTCAACTTCTACTGTGAAGAGCCGTGTAATAACTTTACTGAATGTAAAAAATAAAAAACAAACCTGCAGTGATTAAGTCAGAGGACAACTGTGGTCTTCTGTGGTCCTCAGTCCTCCTCCTGCCCCTCACGGCCACACACAACATCGCACACAAATGGTAACATAAACATACACACAACTTTTTTATATCTCTTTGTTTCACTGTGCATTCTTAAAATGGTTTATTTGTTTGTTTGTTTTTCAGTGTATGTGGATAAATAACATGTTCTCATTGATTACTGGCCTGATGATGAGCTGGAGAATCTAATGCCTCCACCAATCCCTCCAACTACGGACAAAGCGGAAGCAAGCGGATGAATGGCTTACCAAGACGTAATTACTGCCTCTCTGGACTCAACCACAACCACTACTACATAAAATAGGCTGACTTTTCACAGGGGGCCATTTCTGCAACTAACAAATCACAACACGTCTGGATCCAGCACTGTGAGCCCCTTTGCTGTAGTTTTGCTCTTGTGTGCTTTATCAATTTATTTGGCTTGCGTTATGTCCCAAATAGTGCTGCACTGGGGACAGCCGGAAAATAAGGAAAGCCTGTATATTTGCTCTTGCCCGAAATGCACTTTACTTTTAGCATTATAGACGAAACAAGCCTTTCGAAAAGCCAGGCCCTTGCACATTCCCATAGACACCGAAGTAATAGCATGAGATATGGGCACTTTGTCGAAACAAC